GGTTTCGGAAAAACGTTCCACTTTGGGGATAATGGCCGGCCGAAAGGAGGGAACCGGGTTCCGTTGTATACGTTTACGCGCTCCTCACGCGTCTTTCCCCCCCCCTCCCATTTCATTTTAAAGTCAAAACGATGGCGCGCGCCTAGTCCTCTGAACGTCGTAAGAAGGTTTGCCATACTATTATAACTTTGTAATGGCCTACTGCCGCGTACTTTGCCCTCGATATTGCCTTAAAGGCCGCGATCGTGAAACGCTACTTGTAAATTTAACTTTCAAACACGCGGTCCGACAGACGCGAGAGAGAGACACCCTTCTTCTTCTTTTCTCTATCGTTATCGTTTGCACCATTGGTATCACCTTTATTTACACGCCACCGCGATCGATTAATCATCGCGATACGCATTGCAAAACGAAGGTCTTTCTTTCTTTCTTCAGGGAAGGTGAGTGATTTTATCCCACTTTCTTTGTAGTGTCCTGATGTAATTTCATATTTTTATCGTAAATTATTATTCGTCGATCTTTTGACCCATAACTCGAAGACTTAGAGCTCGGTTTAGAGAAGAAGAAGAAGAAGAAGAAAAATTAAACAGCAATCTTTTGACCCATAACTCGAAGACTTAGAACTCGGTTTAGAGAAGAAGAAGAAGAAGAAAAATTATTCGCCAATCTTTTGACCGATAACTCGAAGACTTAGAACTCGGTTTAGAGAAGAAGAAGAAGAAGAAGAAGAAAAATTATTCGCAAATCTTTTGACCCATAACACGAAGACTTAGAGCTCAGTTTAGAGAAGAAGAAGAAGAAGAAGAAGAAAAATTATTCGCCAATCTTTTGACTCATAACTCGAAGAGTTAGAACTCGGTTTAGAGAAGAAGAAGAAGAAGAAGAAAAATTATTCGCCAATCTTTAGAACTCGGTTTAGAGAAGAAGAAGAAGAAGAAGAAGAAAAATTATTCGCCAATCTTTTGACCCATAATTCGAAGACGCACTTAGAACTCGGTTTAGAGAAGAAGAAGAAGAAGAAGAAAAATTATTCGTCAATCTTTTAACCGATAACTCGAAGATGGACTTAGAACTCGGTTTAGAAAAGAAGAAGAAGAAGAAGAAAAATTATTCGCCAATCTTCTGACCCATAACTCGAAGATTTAGAACTCGGTTTAGAGAAGAAGAAGAAGAAGAAGAAGAAGAAAAATTATTCGCCAATCTTTTGACCCATAACTCGAAGACGGACTTAGAACTCGGTTTAAAGAAGAAGAAGAAGAAGAAAAAGGTATACTTAATTTAAGAGAGAACTATGAGGATGCGATTAAACTTTCAACCTCAGCTACAATGTTCGAAACTCCACCCGATATCTTAATCCCTCTGGCTTCTTTCTGCTTCTGAAGCGTATTCGTAGTTACGGAAGCGAAGGTAAAATCGAGATCCATTGCAGGAATTGGGACGAAGGACGGACACGGTACAGAAATATCCGAGTAATTCCAATTTACGGCGCCGCTGCAAATCATAATACCAGGCCCGTTTGGACGGCTCGCCATGGAAGCGGCCGACTTAACGACTGTTCGATACCTGGATTACATTCGAAATACGAGACACCGTTTCGTTCCCTCGACTTCGTATACATCGAATCCTGTACTTGGTTATTCGAATCTACAAATTTCCGTCCAAACCTCCCGTCGAGACATTTCATCGATGCTTGTAAATCGTTCTCGTCTACTCTTACTACTACGTATAAGATTTACCCCCGCACAAAGGAATTCCTTCTTGTCGATCTTCAGAAGGGAGAGAGAGAGAGAAAGAGAGAGACCATCCCCTCGGTCGTAATCGTGAAAGGAATTCGAATCGCGAGCCGAAACCGAAGATAATCTCCGCGAGGGAAAATGTTGTTTCGTCGTGTTTGGCCCGAATCTATCGATTCCTTGCCTCCTCTCCTTTCCTCCTCCTGGCATTGTTGGCTAGCTAGGTTGGTAGGTAGTTGGCAAAATGCCAGAAGCGACGAGACGGGAGCGTTCGTCCAGGTGGAAGCGGGCGAAGGTAGCGCGGACCAGTAGCTCGGGGCAAAAAGGGTGAACTCTGAGGGAAGGCAGAAAGAGAGAGAGGGAAAGGGGCGGAGAGGATGGACCACGAAATATTTGTCAATCGCAAAGGCAGGAAGATCGGTCGGGAAAGTCGATTTAACGCCCGTTAAGGAAGCAATTCCTTTAAGAAGGGCGAAGGGTGGAGGGGGATCCTCGACCTTCCTGGACTTACGACCTTTCACCGGGGAATCGCTTCCGTCCGCCATTATCGGCGGACGAATGGAACATCAATAACCAATTTCGTAAGACTAATATCGCGAAAATTAGTTTCCTGAGGTCCCTTTTCCTTCGTGCCTCCTTCCTTCCTTCCTTCCTCTCTCTCTCTCTCTCTCTCTCTCTCTCTCTCTCCTCTATATACCCTTCGTTAAAAGATCTATCCCGAGCTGCTCCGTGCTTTTTCCTAATGTCGATCGATCGGAATCGATCCTCGATCGTCTCTCGCGATGCTCTTTTTTCCTTCATCGCCGAGACGAAGGAACGACGATAATACATCCCATTTCTTTTCTTTTTTTTTTTTTTTAGTCACCGAGATTTCAGCCAGGTGAAATATCCGGCCGAGGATCCGGAGATCGTTTTTCGACGTTTCGGTTGTTTTTTTTTTTTTCTTTCTTTCTTTCGTCTCGACCGTTTTTTCGAGAATTCTCGCCCCTTTTTTTTCTTCGCCCGCGTCGAGAACGAATATGACCCGAGAGGGTAAACGTTTACTCTATCGGTGGAGAGAAACCGATCTCTGTCTTCTGGAGGGAAACGGAAAGGGAGGGGGGGGGGGAAAGGAAAGAGAAAGATATATCTTTTCCCTTAGTTTCACGATTCGCGAGGAGGAATTTCTTCAATTACGCCTCTTAATTATAAATTAATTATTCCCCGAGTTATGGCTCGATTTTTAGCTCCCTTTTCAACCTAATTACCACCAGGGTCTCGAGGAGCTTCGAAACTCGCCCCCCTCCCCTCTCATTCCCTTTTTCCCTTTCGTTTTTGCGTTTCGTTTCCCCCTTTTCCATCTCTCTTTCTTGCCCCTCGCAACCCAACTACCGTTTCTACCAGTCTATCTCCAACTTTTCTTTAACGAGGATCCGTGCCGTAACCGTCACCTTTTTGCCGTGGAACCAGCCGTTTCCTCCTCGATGTTTCTTTTCAACCTGCAAAATTTTACCCCACCGACCGACCGACCGACCGACCACTCCACTCTCTCACCGTGAATTTCTCCTCTCCGGCGTTAAGAAGTTCTCTTTTGCTCCCCGTCCAAACATTTTCCCTCTTCGTTCGTATCGATCGAAGTTTTCTTTTTCGTTTCAAATTTACATTCATCCCGTCGTAGTTGGATTTCGACGGGATAAATAAATAAAAAAAGAAAAAGAAGAGAGAGAGAGAGAGAGAGAATGGAACCGTCAACCGCGTAGAATCAACCACGAGAACCACGGGGGAGACGAGAAAAAGCTCGTGCTTATCGAGCAAATTTGATCAATCGGCAATTTCATTCGGGTTCTATTCGAGGAGCGGGGGACGATATTTGACACGATCCCGTCTCTCGATTTCTTTTTTATCGAGCGAGCATAACGGGGCTATAAAGCGGGCCGCTCGGAATGTTAAAAGTTGATTTATTAACCTTTGATTTATACCCTTATCGATCGGGAACGAATGCATTTACCCTGGCAAGATAGCTCGCCGTCGCGCGTCGTGATCGACCTTTTCATTCCCCCCCTCTCCCCCAATCCTTTTCTCCTCCCCCTCCCGTTTCCCTTTTTTCCTCTCCTCCCACACAACAATCACACCGTTTACGCGCCCATATTTCTCCTAGGGTCGTCGGCCTGTCCGCCTGTTAATAAGCGTATCGGAACGCTGGAAGTGGCCGCGATAAAAAAGTGATGCATGCCTCCCACGATATTTTCCAAGAGTCGTCTCGAAGAATCGAAAATCGCATCGCAAATCGTGGCGGTGAAAGTTGAAAGGAAGGATCCCCCAACCTGTGAAAAAGAGCGTTGGGGCGGATAGGCGTGAAGGAGGTACGAGCGTGTCGGATGCAAATTTCACGAGTTTTTTCCAACGGCGTTGACGAAAAAAAATGTTGCTCTCGAAAGCGAATGTTGCTTGGTCGAGCATCAACCGAGGTTTACTTTCCCCTTTGTTATCGAGCAAAGTGAAAAGGGGGAGGGGGGGACGTGAATTTCGCGACGCTCGACCGAGAGGTCTGCGTATAACGTTGTTCCATCCCCGAGGATCGAAGATTCCCTTCTCGCCGACGGAAGATACGGAATTTTCTCTTTTTTTTATCGTATTAAAATATAAAATTTGGCGTGAAAAATTTGCGAGGAGATCGTGCCCCGCGAAGTTGGAGGTAATCGTTGGAGAGTATCGAGAGTGAATGTTCGAGGATGGGAACGATCATGAAGTTTCTGTTTGTACGTTGGTCAAAATTCGTGCGACATGTACTAAAGAGAAAAGCCATCCACGTTCAAGAGTTTCTAACCACTTTCGGTGACTAGCCAAGGAAAATTCTTCGATGGTGTACAAAGAGGACGTGACACTGCCCCTGTTACCCTGTCAAACTCTCCTGCATAAATTCGTAACATCGTAATGTTTCGAGGTTATGTCGATGATGCAAAGTGAACGCGCGTGAACCTTTGAAAAATTTCGAAAAAAATTCGTAGATAACGTTCGACAAAAAAGGAAAAATCGTACAGATAAAGAGATCGTGTTAAGTCGTCCGAGTTTTTAAAGAGTTCACCCCCCGCCCCCCGTGCCGACCCGAGACCGCCAACTTTACATATACATACATACACACATACACACATATATATATACACACAAAGAAAAAAAAAATCCCCTTTCGAATTCCAATATTCTCGTCGGTTTGATATTTCATCCCGATGAAGTATCGGAAGGAACAGGAAATATCTTCGACCGAGAATTGAGAGAGGGTGAGGAATAATGAAGAGAGGGACGAAGTGTGTCGCGCAGACCATCAACTTGTCCAATCCGGAAACATGCATAAGACCGAAGAGGATTCAGAAGCTCGTTTCAGCGGACACGATGCAACCCTGTCCGACGATGACCGGCCCAGCGTCGTCTTATTGGACGCCCAAACCGGTGGCCATTAGAATCTGCACGAGGAAGGATATGCAAAGAACTTGCCCGCCCAAGGTGACTCCTTCAAACCTCGACAATACACTCGTTCAAATACTTCGTTATTATACATAAGAAAGATTGGGCTAAAAATTTAATTCAACCGCTTCTATAATTTATAATTATATTTATTTATAATTTGTTGTTCGAGACGCGATATAATATATAACTTTATTTTCTCGTTAACGACGAGCGTTATCCTAAGCCGCGTCTGTATCGGTTACTCGATCGAGTCGTTACGTTTACCTTGAAATTAGGATGCGCGGTTCGATGCGCGTGTACACACAGCTATGGCAGAGTATCCGACGGAGAGGGAGGGGGCACGGCACTTACGTGACGACCCGTGACGTGAGTCGAGGACGCATAGTCGCGTTTAACTGCAGAGAGCGCTCTCGTCGAGGCCCGAGAGCCGGGTATTCTCGAGGGTTTCGTAAACGCGACGAATCCTCCTTTTACACGAGCTTATTTCGTACCTTCCTCCAACGGCTCAGCACTGGTCGCTGCTTGTGTTTAGCTCGAAATCCGACGACGTATATACCTATATATACATATATATATATATATATATATATATATGCTTCTTCGAATTTTTAGAATTCGCAGCGTGGTATCCTCCGGGTATCCATCCGTCTCTCGATTCCGAATGTAAATATAAACGTAGCGTTTGTTCTTAAAAATCGTCAAATATTGATACTCTTCCGAGTCACGTACTCAAACTCTGTCCAACCTGTGTTTCGTACGTAGGTGTGCGATTGCCAGCCCAAGAAGAGAAGGACATTCGGGCAAAGATTCTGCACCATCCTCCTCTTCTTTCTCAAGAGCAGCATCGCGGCTGGCCTCGTCTATTGGACGCGTTCCGAGGGTCTGTGGGGGAGCAGCGCCGAAGTCGAGGACCTGTATCGAAGGATAATGGCTACGATCTCACCTTCGAACGACTTTGAGGATTACTGCAGAGCGGAAAGAGAGGATGTAATAATTACGATTTCTGTTAACGTAACCAAAGGCTGTCCCAAAATTCAAGGAATTTTTCATAGAAGGCACGCGTTTATATTTGTAAATTTTTTTATTCATTCATAAATAGCATATGGCGTTGTTTGCAATTAAATGTGGTTGAATTTCGTCGATACTTTGGATAAACCTTAGACTTTAAAAAATCCCAAAGAAAAAAGTCGAACAGCGATTAAATCGCACGATCTGGCCAAAATTACAGGAAACGTCAGCTATTTGTTGAATTGTTTCTCGGGCTGTATTTTGTTGAAACAACACTCATATCTTGCGATTTAAAGGCAGGAAAAACTGGATTGTCATTAACAACAGGTTGTTGCCTGACATTTTCGAAGAAGAATGATGCTGAAAAACCAAACATTTGTTTCTCACTCGTGGATTCTTCGAAGCCCAAACGCGACAATTTCGTCGATTAACCGAGATCCATCAAGATGAAAACGAGCCTCGTGATTTTGTTCGATAATCTGTCTTTTGTTTTTTTCGCGTTGGCGCACGAATGGCGCAAAAATTCAAATTTTGGGACACCCTTTAGTGCTTCCATTCCCCGTTAAAAATATCGTTAAAAATATTATCACACGCGTACGTATGTTTTCCCCAGATCGAATTGCCCCGCTTCAATCAGATCAAATACAAGTTGATAAAGAAGTACAATCAGGCCGTGTTCACCGTGATGAATTGTATCCTGAACGCGTCGACCGCGCTGCGGAACCAGCTTCAAAGACTCATGGTTCCGGAATCGGACAAATCCGAGGAGGAGGAGGAAGATGCGGCAGAGGATATCAAGGAAAAAGCTTGACCCTTGCCCTCATCGAAACACAAATCCTGTGCGTCCTATCGTTTGCACTCGTCTTGTAACTTTTTTTTTTTAAGAAAAAAAAAAAAAAAAAAAAATCCCAATGCACGAATAAATTTCTAAAATAACTTTTCCCTCGTTGTTTTGTAAGACAGAGATAAGGGCAGAGAGTAAAGAGTAAACTTGCCTCGAGAGAGACAAGATCGGATAGTTTCGTCGATAAGGATCGTTCTTCGGACGTTTCTTCAAATAAGTTGCGTGGAAGTGCACGTAAACCGTGCGATAACGCCATACAAAGAGATTAAAATTCCGTTCACAGGCTGCTTCCATTTTTTCCCTTTTTCCTCCTTTTTATCTTTTTCCAGACAGAGGGTGCACCATTTCTCGCGAAATAGTTGCACGCTCGAGCAAAATTTCAAGCTTTTCTCTACATTGTGTGTTATACATATACACTATCCTCGCTACTCGTAGCAAGGAATTTTACACTTTCAAGGTGAAAAAGTAATCCCCGAAAACGCGACTACCTACATCCAACCCTACTTCTTTTTAAAACGAAAGAAGGGATCAGGCGAGTCGCTAAATTCGATCTTATCGACTCCCCTCCCCCCCGTGATTCTCCAACTCGAATTTCTCCCTCGATTCCCTCTCGTGTCCCCTCGTTGCAAGCTTTTAATATAAATTTCGGATTGCGTTAAACGGTGCGCTTCAAGTCAATTCCGAATCATTTGAATTTATTCGAGGAAGGAATTTATCCCGCTAAGAATCTTTTTTCCTCCCCCCCTCCATTCACTTTGGAATGGAGAGGAATCCCATACTTTCGAAACTCTACGTACGAAGTTCGAGGATCTCGACGTTGGCGAGTGCGAGGTTGTCAAATTTATCGCGGACGTGTTAATGCTTTCGCCCTTTACGAAGATCAATGGTTCTTTCAAATCGAGTTTCGCGTCCCTCCTCCAATTCTAAACATTAAACAGGTATACGTTTTTGTAATACACCAACGGATGATTAATTTTGCGCAACAACATTTCCCTCCCCTCCTTATCTTTTCTTCGGTTTAATCTACCCTTTTGTTCTTTAACCTTTGACGTCCCTGATATGGAACGTTTCGAAACTTGTTTCCCTCGATTCAAGCAATCGATATCGTGGAAGAAATATCATGGAGAAGGGGGGAGAGAGAGAGAGAGAGAGAGAGAGAGAGAGAGAGGATTTGGCCAGCCCTCGGGGGGTAAGGGAGATTCAAAGCTCGATTCAGTTCGGACAGTTAAACAGTTTATTCAGATCGAAACTTTATGTAGTATATACATACGAGTTTAATAGACGATATGGAGTTCTGATATGAAATCACCCCCTCCCCCTATACAGTGAACTTAAAATACAATTCGATTTACATTTTAACCCTCGCTTCATCTGATTATGTACACGTATTCGTTAGTCTTTGGATTTTATATCGTATCCCTCTCTCACAGGCGGCGTTCTTCTTCTTTTTCTTTCTTCTTAGAGAATTCGAAGAATTCCATCATCATCGAAATTTGTCGAAATATTCGTTATAAAAAAGGGGAGTTTGTATATATGTATATATAGAAAAAGAAGAGAGCTCCGCAAAAGAAAACTCGTCTTCCTATTCTTATCACGCTGGAAAAAAAATTCGATCTCCCGGATCACGACCGTTTTCCGTATTTTATATTTAGGCTAATGTTCATGGACGTGAAAAAAGCGTGATCCCGTCGATCGGCTCGTTTTTCACCCCCCCCTCCCCTTAAAAATCATATCGCCTTAAATTTCATATCGACGGTCGATAAACTAGGAGATATTTTTCGATAGAAAATTTGTCCCGACGTGGTTCCGCGATCTATTCGTCGCCATGTTGCTCTTAATTAACGAAGATCGAGTTTTGACGAGGAACGTTTTAGGAGGAAAATAACGAGCCGCCGACACGCCACTCGAACGAGAAATCGATGAATCCCGTGTGAACATCGAAATTACCACGACATTCTCGCGCCATCTTCCCTTCCCCTCCGCGCAAGGGGGAGATTCTTCAACGATACGTACTTATGTACAATTGATACGATACATCGATTAACGAGTTTCCTCTTTCCCCTCCCTTTTCCTTTCTCTTTCACTTGTTCTCTCGTTGCTCCCTACTTTTCGATTACAGTACAGTTTCGAAAGGAAAAGGGTGAACGCGACGTCACGCACGCGATAACTCAACATTTATATTCCTCTTCCACTCACTTTCCATCTCTCGATTCACATTCGTTCAAAGCTCGAGCGAGAGAGTTTCGGACAAAGTTTCGCGTCACTTCGCCCTCCTAGGAATACACTTTGTCACTTTTTACTTCCAGCTTCCCCGTCAAGCCTCGTGACTCCGTCGCCACGGATGGAAGCCCGACCTTGCAAATTCAATTTTTCATCCGTGTGTGTATGTAAAAGCGCTTCGCCTTTTGGAGTACTTTTCTTACTGTGCTTATCTCGCAAAAAAAAAAAAAAAAAAAAGGAGAGAAAGGAAAAAGAATCGAAATTAGGAGAACGGTCAGCAATTTCGACGATCGCTTTCTTTCCAAAATTTCTCCTTACATCGCGATCACATCGCGACGCGAATTCTCGATGAAAAACTAACTTACCGACCGCTCGTACCAAACTTCGATTCGACTCGATCGCGACGCAATCGCGATTCGCGTTTATTGTCGATTCCGCTGTTGTCGATGCGCCGACAGTCGGAAAGAGAGGACGAGCGAGTGGTTGGCTTGACAACTCTGCGACAACCCCCCCCCGATCCCCGTTCGAGCACGCGAAGAAATTCGGGAAGAAAATAATCGAACGAAGACAAGGTCGACGACGACGTATAAAATCGTGTTTCGTAACAAATTCACTTTTCGTAACTATTCGCTCCCTCACCGAGTGTACGTTTCCCCGTTGTCGGAACCGAAACTGATTGATCAGCCTCGATCAACCGCCCTTCCTTCTTCCCCTCCCCCCACTCGGCACGGTAACATCGCGTTATCTCCTCCCCTCTCCTCTTGCCACATATTCTCGCCCCGTTCCTCGATCCATCTTCATTCCGGCCAGGAAAGGAGCGGAACGGAATCAACCTTTATCTTTTCTCGCCGAGGATTCTCTCGACGAGGATTCGATTCAGGACGTGAATTCGTTTATTTTTAATCGACAAGAGCAAAAGGAAATAAGAGAAGAAGGAGCTGTATCTTCTTCGAGGATTGCCAATTATTTGAGGGATCGGATGGCTGGTTCGTTGGAGGGAAAGAAAGGGGGATACGAACATACGGAGAGGGGATAGTTACGCCGACTTCTTGCAGGGGAAGAAGACTACTTCGGAACATGTTGCTCAGGTGGAAGAGTTTTCTTTCCGATTCTTTCTTCTTCTTCTTCTTTCCTCCTTCCTCCTCCAGGCGGGAAGAAAGAAGGAAAGAGGAGAGGAGAGAGGAAGGGAAGAGAAGAGCTGTGAAAACAATTTTTACAAAAGAATTTTTGGCGGATAATTTTAAAGTTCCTCTCCACGAGTTCTCCATCGTTGCCTCGAGTCGAGCGCGCGATTGTCTTTAACGCGCCCTTGAGCACGCCCCGTGCACGAACCCGTGGGAGGTCCTAGACGCAACTCTCCGGCAGCCTGTTTGCCATCAATCGTCTTTTGATCGCCTCTCCGTCCAGGCACTCGCCCGCCACGACGACACCTTGGCCGCTTCCTAGAGGGAGGCCACCCTGCGCCCCCACCATCCCCTGCCCACCGCCGCCCATCGTCGCTCCTCCCGTCACGGGCATGCTCTGTAAACTCGGCAACGTGCTCCTCGATGGTAACCTCAGCTCCGTCGGCCTCCCCGTGAATTTGTGGCAGAGCTCGTCTATGCTTGGCGTAGGCCCGGGCGTGACCCAGTGTCCCGGGGGATATCCACCTGGATAACTCGGCGGGCTCACTTCCGCCAGGTTGCCCTCTGAAACATCGGAACAATTCTTTCGGCTTTTTCTCTTTCCCCTCCTCCTCCCTATCCATTCTCTTTTCGAAATAGCGTAGCATCGCAACACCGCTTCGAGCGTGCACACTTCTCCATTGAAAATTATTTTACGTCCTTTCACTTTCTTTAATTGCGATGTTTTCAATATCATTTATGGATAATGGATAAAATTGCGAGGCGGCGAAGCTTCTGCGCGCGATCGAATAAAACTCTGTTTCTTTTCGCTTCTTTTGCCGGGAAGAAGGTGGAAGAAGAAGGAGGAGGGGAAGGAAAATTTAGCGACGGTCCCGCGTGTACAACGGCATATCTGAAAAGATATGGCCTACCCTCCCCTCCCCCCACGTAATCGAACCAATCGATCGCGAGTCCGCGCTCCCCTCACCCGATGCAAATGGAAAATGTTTTTCGGAAAATATCTGGCGCGCTGGCTCGATCTCTTTTGTTGGGGATGAAATACCGCCATCCGCCACCCGTGTAAGCCGCGGTAATTGAATAAAATCTATATACACGCAGCTATTACAAATCGCGGCGTAACCAGCGCAATTAGATTAACTGCGCGTTGCGAGAACGTTTCCTGCCTATTATTCGAGCAAAATCCAGACCGGCGATCGATCGTTTTGCACCGACCCCGATCCCTCGTTGAAAGCGTGCCAGCCAAGTCTCTTTCTTTCCTTTTTCACTTCTTTCCGAGAATCGATGATTCGTATCGATCGGACGAGGGGGATCGAGATCTTATTATTATCGTGCACGCTCTATCCGGATAACGTTGAAGCGAGGATCTGGAGAGGAGAGTTTACGCGTTGTACCGTTGTTTGCAAGCATGGTTTGGAGGCAAATGCTAACGACAGTGAAATTAATGGAGCAGGGATTTGAGATTTTCCTGCGGAATCCTTGTATCTCGGACAGTGTTGGGAGCGAAGATTTGAGATTTTCGAGATTGAATTTGTATTGGGTGTTTTGGACAATGTTTTTTCCCTGTGCGGCCATTCGAGTATTTGTTTTTATCGTGTACTCTGTAATGCTGAGGATAAGGAAGTTAATAGGACAATGTTGAAAGAGTCGAAGTCATAATGTTGAGGAGGGGAAAGGAGATTAACGAAAATCTGAGAATTTTAGATCTTGTAGAAATCGAGCTTATTGTACTGAATGAAACGGAGATTTGAGATTTTTAATTCCCATCGAGCTACGTGTATCCTGCAATATCCTGCTGAGGATAAGGTTAAGAGTTTAGCGAAATTAATAGGGATTTTATTGTATTATATATTGAACGAAGATTCGAGATTTTAGATTCTGATATCGTTTGTTTTCTGCGATGTTGTTATAACTAACAAAATGGAGGTTTGAGATTTTTAATTTCTATTTCTATATCGAGCTATGTGTACTCTGCACCGCTGAGGATAAGGACGAAATTAATAGGGATTGAAATCTTATCGCATGGACAATGTTGAAAGAGTTGAAGTCATAATGGACAATGTTGAAGAGGGGAAAGTGAAATGAACGAAAATCTGAGAATTTTAGATCCTGAGATCGAGCTTATTGTACGAAGTGATTTGGGATTTTTATTTCCTATCGAGCTACGTGCAATGCTGAGGCTAAGAGTAGCAAAATTAATAGGGATCGAGATCTTATCGCATGGACAATGTTGAAAGAGTTGAAGTCATAATGGACATGTTGAGGAGGGGAAAGTGGAGGAGGACAGTGAGATTAACGAAAATCTGAGAATTTTAGATCCTGAAATCGAACTTAGAGTAGCGAAATTAATAGGGATTTTATTGTATTATATATTGAACGAAGATTCGAGATTTTAGATTCTGATACCGTTTGTTTTCTGCGATGTTGTTATAACTAACAAAATGGAGGTTTGAGATTTTTAATTTCTATTTCTATCGAGCTATGTGTACTCTACACTGCTGAGGATAAGGACGAAATTAATAGGGATTGAAATCTTATCGCATGGACAATGTTGAAAGAGTTGAAGTCATAATGGACAATGTTGAGGAGGGGAAAGTGGAGGAGGACAGTGAGATTAACGAAAATCTGAGAATTTTAGATCCTGAAATCGAACTTAAAGTAGCGAAATTAATAGGGATCTTATTGTATTATATCGCATGTTGAACAATGCTGAAAGGGTTGAATATGGACAATATTGAGGAGGGGAAAGTGAAATGAACGAAAATCTGAGAATTTTAGGTCCTGAGATCGAGCTTATTGTACGAAGTGATTTGGGATTTTTAGTTCCTATCGAGCTACGTGCAATGCTGAGGCTAAGAGTAGCAAAATTGTTGACTGGGCAGTGGGAAACAATAAATAAAATATACGGGTTTAGCTGAATGAATATATTTGATTATACGTGATTGCGCGTATCTGTTTATAAAACATTTGAAATACGAAGAGAAACGAATAGCTACCAACTATGAAATGGTAATGTTGCTGACAACATTCAATAATGAAATCATATATATAAAATTTCAGTGAACTTTAAATTCTATAACAAAAATTAATAGGGATCGAGATCTAATTGTATTATATCGCACGCTGGACAACGTTGAAGGGGTTGAAGTCGTTGAGGGTGAAAGACAGTGAAATTAACGAAGATTCGAGATTTTAGATTCTGATACTGTTTGTGTTTTCTGCGATGCTGTTTTCGAACGGTGTTGTAATTAAACGAAGATTTGAGATTTTTAATTTTCTATTGGATTTCTACGTGTATTCTGCACTGCTGAGAATAAGGACAGCGAAATTAATAAGGATCGAAATTTTGGATCGCATGTTGGACAATGCTGAAGAGATTGAGATCGTAATGGACAACGTTGAGGAGGAGAAAGGACAGTGAGATTAACGAAAATCGGAGAATTTTAGTTCCTGAAATCGAAATTATTGTACAGAATATAATAAAGATTTGAGATTTTTAATTCCTATCGAGTACTCTGCAATGTTGAAAACAGCGAAATTAATAAGATCGAGATCTTATCGCACGTTGAACAAAGGGTTGAATATGAACAATATTGAGGAGGGGAAAGAAGAATGAAATTAACGAAAATCTGAGAATTTTAGGTCCTGAGATCGAGCTTTATCGAAGTGATTTTTATTTCCTAGCTACGTGTATTCTGCAATGCTGAGGATAAAGCTAAGTGAAATAAATCTTATTGTATTATATCGCACGCTGGACAACGCTAAGGGGGTTGAAATCGTAATGGACAATGTTGAAGAAGTGAAAGGAGTGAAATTAACGAAAATCTGAGAATTTTAGATCCTGAAATCGAACTTATTATACTGAATGAAATGGAGATTTTTAATTCCTATCGACCTACGTGTATTCTCCATTACTGAGGATAAGTGAAATTAATAGGGATCTTATTGTATTATATCGCGTGCTGGACAGCTAAGGGGGTTGAAATCGTAATGGACAATGTTGAAGTTTAGGTCCTGAGATCGAGCTTATTGTACGAAATGATTTCAGATTTTTAGATCCTATCGGATTTCTATAGAGCTACTCTGCACTGCTGAGGATAAGGCTAAGGGCTAAAGCGAAATTAACAGGGATCGAGATCTTATTGTTACATGGCACGCTGGACAATATGCCGAGGATAAAGCGAAATTAGGGGAGTAAGGACTCGAGAGATTTTGTACGTTGTTTGCCGGAGGCAAATGCCACCGACGGTGAAATTAATGTAAAAGTGATCTTAGTGGACAATGTTGTGGGCGAAAGACAGTGAAATTAACGAAGATTCGAGATTTTAGATTCCGATGTGTGTTTTCGAACTGGAGATTTGAGATTTTTCCTTCCTATCGGCTTCCTATCTCTGAGGATAAGGAAAACGAAATTGATAGGGATCGAGATCTTATTGTTATAATCGCACGCTGGACAACGCCAGCGAGGATAAAGCGAAATTAGGGGATCCGAGAGAGTTTCTACGTTGTTTGGGACGCCGGAGGCAAATGCTAAGGATAGTGAAATTAATGGAGTAGAGATCTTCAGTAGATTGTACCCTGGACATTGTCGAGTCCAAAGATCTGAGATTTCAGATCCTGCTGTTTTCAACCATAACTGTATACCAATTTTCCCGAAATTTTTAATTCGAGTTACTCCATCCACCGAGGACGAAGGTAAGCGAAATCCGAGAAGCTGTTTCGAAATTGGCAAGGATATAAGCCTGTAAGCCCCGTTTTGTCCATGGGCAAAAAGGTAAGGAAACGAAACGAGAGCAAAGGGGATGGATTCCGCCGCGACATCGAGAAACTTACCAAATTTATTCGGAATAACGTCTGGGTCCGTTTCCACGGTTTGCTGAGGGTTCTGCAGCGGGTACTGCTGCGGGGGTAGCTCGCTCAGCTCCGCCGGTTTTTCGTGGCGTGGCTTCGACACGCGTTCCCGACGCACGCGTACCACCACCACGAGTATGACGAGCACCAGGGTGACCAACGCCCCGACCACAACCCCTATCAAGGGCGATAACACGATCCCAGCGTCTTGTCCTTGAACAGAGGCGTAATTTCGCAGTAATAGTTAGTGGGATGACGCTACCAGGATGGATAGAATAAGGGGGGGGAGGGGAGGCGCGACGTTTAAACGGCCGACGTAATTAACAAATTCCGGCGGCGTTTCAGGGTCGGTGGCTCGATGAAATTTACGAGGGGACTGGGGATTGACAAATGAACAACGGTAATTTGTTTAAAATTATCGCGGCCGTAATTAAACGATGGGAACGGGTAATAACAGCCCCGTTTTATTCGTTCGTTCGTGCCAGTGGATCGTGATGTATCCGTCTGTGTAAACGTTAATGAACGGATGATTGTGATGAAACCGCGTTATGAAACGGGGACGGAATCTTTTTTATCTTCGTCTTATCCCTCTTCATCTCTTCTTCATCTTGCACTCGTTCGAAAATATCTCGTTCGAGATTCGATGAAATTTTAAACGGAGAACTTCTTAGGGACTCGAGTAAAGTGTATATATATATATATATATTTGGAATTGGGAGGATAAAGGAGGGAAATTTACGATCGGGGACGATGGTAAAAAATATGGGTTATCGAGGACAGAGGAGCGTAAACAAGGGTCCGTGTTTTATTTCGTTCCATTCGTTACGGTGTTAATTGTCATCAGTTATCGAACTATCGTCACCGATTCAAAACTTCAATTAAAATGGTACTTTATACCATTGGATAACAAACTTCCGTGCCACTTACCGGATTAAATGAATTACCCCAATTAAGGACTCGTCTCTCCTTTCATCTCTTTTTTTTCACGTTCCGCTTATATAAACGCGTAAATATTTAGTAGAATATTAAAATTCGAGGGTAAAAAAGGAAAGAAAAAGAGACGCGAAATCGAATCGAGAGCGAAGAAAAATTAATCGTACGCGTGACAGAGTTATGAAAGGAGAGAAACTGCTTTCCAACTCGGATCTCTCTGGCTATTTGCTCCATCTTTCTTTCTCTTTTTTCTCTCCTTTTTTTTTTTTTTTTTTTTTTTTTTCCTTTTTTTTACCCTCTCGTACGGGGCAACACGCCGCGGTAAACCGTGCACGTACACAGGTCCGAGGAAAGCACAGCCTCTGCAAACGCCTTTGCGCGGATTCCAGTTGGCTCTGGACTCGATTCAAAATGTTTGCACGTTAAAAAATTAGAGGGAACTGGATTAGTCAACGGAGCTCTCAGCGTTTATCTCGCGACAAGGAGGAGCAAGCTACTCACTGTATACGTTCAATCTTCAAATACACAATTTTTCTCGAGAATAGTTAACAATAATAAATAATAATATTCGAGGAAAAAAGAGAAAAAGAAATCTGGGGAGAGACGAGAAATCTTGCAGCTCGATTCTTGCTTCCCACGGGGGAGGGGGTGATAGTGGCAGGGAGCGTGGGAGCCGGCCCGCTGTTTTCGCCGGATAATTAACAAAACTGTATCCTTTTCGGGGATTCGAGTCGGCCAGCTGTTGGCCCGAATGCACGATTCTTAATTCTCGCGAAAGTATGGCCACGCGTCGCAGCTCCCTCTTTTTGCACGAAAAACCGATTGCTGGAAACCTTCCCCTCCCTCCCTTCAAACTTTCTTAGCGAGCGAGTTTAAGCAAAGAAAGGGGAATGGAGATTGAGCGCGAGGCGAAAGTACGCGACGGCGTACAATATACGTGCATGCATACACGCATGCGCAATACGCACGTGTTATGCACAACACAGGTGTGCGCGTATTTATACGCGCGTAAATAGATGGCGCGATCTACTTATGCGCGGGAAGGTATATTTCGCCGGGGCGGTGATAAAGTTTGGGATTTAATCCCGAGTTCTGAAGCTAAACCTAAACCTAAACCTTCGTAACGTACGACGTTTGCCTTTCGGTTTATTTCGGGTGGATCGGCACGCGAGGGAGAAACGTTCGAAATAATGTGAACGGTGCCCCGGTAAATCGGCCGCCGCCGTCAGCAGCCTGCGGAACAGGTTGCGTTCATTGGGGGAGCGAGAGCACGCTTGTCGCGTTCTTGCAGCTACTATTCCTGCGTTTTATCGACACGTTGCGCCGCGCCTATTGCGAGCAACTATCCTCGCATCCGCGATAATACACTCTGTGTATTCCCAGGGGGAGCTACGTAGCGCGACAGGAAAACATGGCGAATAGTTTTATAGATTGCAGATTTCTTCAGATTTCTTCTTATATATCCTATAATAATAACAATAATGAAAATAATAATAATAAAATAGGTATAGGACGTACACTCTCGGCTCGGAACGGATGGTGTACATACGTGTAATTTCTCGGATCAATTATCGGGCGATTTACTCGCGGCCGGCCGTATATTCTTCGAAAGCGTGGACGTATTTCTCGTTAAAGTTGCAGCGTCGGGATGCGGTGTTGTTCCAACAAGGGAGGAAGAGGAGGGAGGGGGGAAATATATATCTCGCGCAGGGTTTCACGACGGCGGTATTCACCTAAATCACGCGGATAGTTTGCCAGCTTTTCTCTCCTCTCATCCTTCTCATCCCTCCCTTACCGCTCCCGTACCGGAGCAATTTTTTAATCAATTACCAGTTTTTTTTTCAGCAGCAGAGGGTGCTTTCTTGTCGTGGAGTGGAAATGGGCGCGTATTCATCGTATATAGACCTCCTCCTTCCTCCTTCTTCTCTAAGTCCCCGACAATGTCTCGTAAAAGTTGCAATGGAAGTTTAATCGAGTTCCACGCGAAGAAACGTCTGGGTGGCGGGGCACTAAAGATAAACCGGCTCCTTATACCTTATACCTATCCTCTACGAGGATCTCTAAGGTCTCTAACGGGGGGGATTCCCGGGGACCGGAGGGGGAAATCGCACATCCCCAACTCGAGGAGTTCATCGAAGTTTAGATCGCTAATCGGTCTTAACAGCGCCCTCTCCATTCTTTCGCGGCTGAAAAGAGAGAGAGGGAGGGAGAATAGAAAAATTCTTTGAAAATCGCGAAACGAAATCGATTCGTTTTTAATCGTCGAGAAATTTGCGAAAAATTTCTCTTCGATCGAGATAAGATTTGAAGAGGGGAAGTCGTTGGATAAGTTTCGCTCGATGTGTCGAGGGAATAAGGGAAGAAGTAAGACAGAGGTTGGGACGTCATACGGCCCGGCTAAGTCACCAAAAAGCCGGGCTTAGCCGGAGCCAGATCTAACTTTGCCTCACCTGGATTAATTTCAACGTAAAGGCTAACCCCGAATCGATGTTGCGCCGTCCGTTTCCCCGAGGCTAAGACGACTTACGTGTCCCCTTTAGGTCCCGTTTTCAATTAATGAAACGCGAATCTCTTTCGCCCTCCGTGACCGATCGCTTTCGACCCGGATTACCAACGGCTCAAAGTCCGTTTCAGCTCTGAAAATTATTCCATTCCCACCCCCGAACCCCAAGTTAAAGAGATTTCCAACCACCACGATATTACTTTCTCCGGCAACCTCCATCGCTCAACGTGCACCCTCGTCCTCTCCTTTCCCCTTTCTTCTTCTCTCGAAAATTGGAATAAACTCGATGGAGTTTGAGATCAAGAATCGTCCCCTTTAAGGGGTTAGATGCGCGATAGGGGATGCTAATACGGTCAAGTTGCGAGCTGGATGGCGGTTTGGTATCCTCTTAATTGCAATCAGTCGGAACAGTCTCGAGAGTTCGTCACTGATTGCCGCCCTTCCCTTCCCTCCTCCTCCCTTCTTCTCTCTCTCCACACCTTCTTCTCTCATCGCCCTTTCCCTTCGCGTATGTACACACGGGGGATCGCAACACGCGCGACAACCAAAACCGTGTGCACAGGTGAAATCGAGGAGCAATTACCGCCTCAATCTCGAAACCTGAAGGGGAGATTGGCTCACAGAGAGAGAGAGAGAGATAGTAAAAGGACGATATACTCGCCGATCTTGAGAATCTAGTTCATAATAAACGTTTATCGGCAGGGGGGATCGATAGTTGGAGGCTCGAAAGGCTTAGGGCCAAGTATCCTAATCTCAATTATCGTAGGACCAGTTGGAATGCTACCCGGTGTCGATGGAACCCTTTATCTAATCTCTCTCTCTCTCTCTTTCTTTCTTTCGACTTCGCTTTAATCCGAATACCCGCGGGCCATCGGTTTCGAAATTACACTCGCTGTTACTAGTTTCCACCGTTGCTACTCGTCTCTCTCCGCCTCTTACAGAATATTCAAATTATGCTTCACCCGTTCTTGACGCGTTTCCTCCATCGATTATTCGAAGAGAGAGAGAGAGAATCTTCGATTTATTCGTTTATCGATGAAGCATTCTCACACGTCATCACGGGTTCGTGTTGGATGCGTGTAATTTTCTCGCGGAAATGCGAAAAAGGTTTCGCGAAGGGCTGAGGAAATTTCATGGGTCGCGCGTAATCTGATTCAGAATTCGTTGCAGCTGACGCCTTTCAACCGCAGTCGCCTTGAAACCGAGAGAGAGAGGTGGTTGACTCCACTTGGAGGAATTCTGCTTCCTCCGTGAGAGATACGATCGATTTGCCTATAATTTCCCCAACTAATTTGCTGCCGAATTAATCTGCTTATTTCGTTTCGAAAAATTATTTTCGAACCAAGCAAATTTCACTACTACTCCCTTTCGTCCGGTAATAATTTCTACTCTCAATCCCTTTTCAAGCGCACAGGTCATCCAAAGCCTCGACCAAACTTTGATCAATTGCCCGTAAAGTAGGAGCGGACCCTTTCGAACAAAGGTCTTACTAGCTCGAACATACCGTTATCACGGGTATTACGGGTGGATAGATGTAAAGATTTCGGTCGAAGAGCGGGTCATTTAATACTGGGACACCTAGTTGAGAGGTTTAAACGCGAGAGCGGGCCGTTGCGATACTTCTCGTTACGTACGTTCGAGGAGAATTTCCACCGCCATTTTCCACGGGACGGACGAAATTGTCGGATAACTGGGTACGCCACCTTGATATAAACTCCCATTTTGGAATATATTACAGCAGCAAGAGAATATTTCTTGCTTTATATCTGCTTTAATTGAATTTAAAGCAAAGCTCTTTCCCTCCTCCAAACATCCAAAAGCCGAAGAGAGGAGATCGCGAGGGAAGGACAAGGGGCAATTTGTATCGCTGACGTTGTGCCTTCCCGCGAATCGCCTTCGACGACCGATCGATCTTCACCGTGGCGTGAGCCGAGTTTCAAGAGACGGAGACCGGAACCAACCCACGAAAACGGAACACCGGGCCTGGATTTTGCGGTTCAGACACGTACTCGCCAATCAGCGCCCGTCCGTCGAGCTTTCTAGGCCGCGTTTCGTTTCAAACGATGCACGAGATCCGATGTTGAAATTCTCCACCGGAATCTCCATCGAATCTTTGGGAGAAATGTGTCATTTGTGAGAATCGATACGGTTGGATAATCAACGAATCCATTCTCGATATTCGAAGATGATCCAAAGTTTACTATCCCCCGAAACGTTCGTGTAAACGGACACCGTTGGCGGTTTTCAATTGGCCGTTTAAACGGAGGGGGATAAAACATCCCATTTAAGCACATCGGAAAATCGGATATATTCGGTTACAAGAGCAACCGTGCCACCGTTGAAAAGCTAATCGATAGCACACGGTTGCGTGTTACGGAAACGCGTGTCGGTTTGATCGTCCTTTAATTGACGTACGTTAACGTACGTACGGGCGAACGGTAAACGGCGTGGTATCGGCTTTTACGGCGCGATGAGTTACATCTGGATACGTTATGCTCGAAGCCTTCGATCACCCGCGTATGCGTGAACACGCGCGCGCCACGCTTGAAACCGAGGTGGAGGGGGGAGAGAGAGAGAGAGAGAGAGAGAGAGAGAGAGAGTTGCCGCAAACGAACCGTCGTCGCCTCACGCGGGACACGCGACTCACTTGTTTAACATCCTCCCCACTCCCCACCTCGTGTCGCACGAGCGCGCGTCCATTTCTCCGTTGCCCCCGCCACCGGGATCGGCCACCGGAATCGCGAAATTCAATTTTCTCGGTCGCGTCTCCCCTCCCTCCCCCCTACCTTCCCCGCGACCAATCGCCGTTTTCTCGCTGCAAGAAACACGCTCACGCCCTCTCCCCATCTCTCACCCATACACAATTTTCGGAAAAACGAATTTCTGCTGCGTTCAATTTCGCAGATGTTTACCCAGGAACGCGATCTGTTCGAACGCGCTCGTTTCCTTCTATCTAGGTATCTTTGATTCCTAGATAGGGATCGGGGATATATATATAGAGAGAGAGATTGATGAGAATGAGAGAGAAAGAGATTTTTACGGGGAAATATTATCTTTTGAATTTCGAGTGAAAATTTTTTTGTTTTTTCTTTACCACTCTGCCAATTTAAATATTAATATGTAGGTTAACGAGATATTCGTTGGGAATAATCACGGTTGAAATATTTATGGTATTTTGCACGTGAAAGCTCTCTCTCACTCGAGTTCTTCGAATCTTTCGAATATATCGGGTATAATAATAATAATAATAATAATAATAATAATAATTCCCTTCCTTCCATCCATTATTGCTCCATTCGAGATTGTTCGTTCGTGACGAAGGGACTTGGAAAGATTCGATCGTCGAAGGGAGAAGAGATGGTAAGTTAATCGTTGAACGGATTCGTCGAAGCGAGAAAGGAAAGGATGGATAAAATCGAGAAGGAAAGGAGGGGAGGGGATATATAAGTAAGCGGGACGAAGAGAAGGGGGGATTGGGGAGGAGGGAGGGGGTAAACAGAGGTAAGTGAAGTTAACGACGGAGCAAGAAGAGCGGCAAAAATGACCCAGGCAAAATTACCGCACGCGAAACGGTTTAATGTCCAAAAAGACGAGCGGACCGGTTAGGCGGGAGGTGGAGGGGGGGGGGGCACGCGAGCAAGACGAAGCGAGAGAAAGCGCAGCCGCTTAACGACCATCCTGTACATCCGTATCTCTTCTGCCTTCTCCACTCTCTCTCTCTCTCTCTCTCTCTCTCCAATCCTTATCTTTCGTTTTTCTTCCCTCCGACTTGTCTGTACGGCGGTGGTGGGTGCCGTTGGGACCATTATCCGTAATTGCTTTCCTTAATTCGATGCTCGTTGCTCCGAGTGGGGAAAAAAATTTTTCCCCTCCAACGCATCGAGGAAAGAAAGGAGGGGAATCGAGATCTAGCGTTCGATAGATAGGATATCCTTTTTTTTTCAGCTCTTGGACTTGGCTCGCCAATTACCAATTACGGAAGTGGCGTCAAATATGAAAACCGAGGAGGGGTGTAACGAAGAGAAGAAAGGTCGTCGAGCTATTTAAATAGCCGCAAGTTTCTAGCTAATGTCTTAATTACGCGCTAATCGACTTTCGAGTTGGCTCGTCGTTGGCTGCCGGTCGTTTCGCCGATCGAGTTCCAACGCGGGGATAGTTTTAATGGTAAGTAGCCGAGAGCTTGTCTCGTCCTCTCTCTCTCTCTCTCTCTCTCTCTCTATTCCTCTCTCCTTTCCCTCTCCCTAATCGAAAGATAATCAAATGCGGTCTGAGAGATAGGGAGATGAAGAGAGAGGGCGAGAGGAAGAGGGAGGGAGCGTAAGTAATGGTCGTTTGTTCTTGAATGTCGAGAAGTTGATGTACGAGAAGTCGGCGGCGGTTCAGCGAGCGCGGAAGAGAGAGAGAGAGAGAGGAGACGAGGATGTAAGTAGCGCGGCACGATGGTTGTGGTGGTGGTAAGCGCGCGTTCCACGCTCGCTCGCATCTCCCGCTTGCAAATTGATAGACGCCGCGGCGACCGTAAATCACTTTACTGACAATTGATTTGGTGCCCTCCGTTTTACCTCGTTGTAAACTCCACGCCATCCTGATATTTACGATCGCGCGTGTTACACACGACGTCACCCACCCCGCGACTTATCCCGCGACAAATCCTTTTACATTTTTCCATCCTCCCTTCCTCCCTTCCTTCCTTCGAGCTCTTTTCGCTTTTCGCTCATCTCTTCCCCCCTTTTTCCTTTCTTCTTTTCCCTCTCTCTCTGTCTCTCTCTCTCTCTCTTCGTTTCGCCAACCATTTTTTTCTATCAGCTTTTCTATCCCCCGATCGTCGGGTCGGGTTACGCTCGGATACGCGCGATGGAAATGAATAAACGCGTCCTCCACAGAGGGTTATTTACGAGTTGTTCCGTTTTTGTTTGTAACCGACCAGAGTATACCAATAGTATTTGAAAAAAAAAAAAAAAGGAAAAAAAAATGGAAAATCCTTTCTAAACATACGTGTTAAAATCGATATTTATTATTATTATTATTATTATTATTATTATTATTATTATTATTATTTCCTTTACAGAGAAAACGTTGTAGAATTTTAACGAGAAGCGTCGAGTATTATTGGAAATGCAAAATCGATTTTCGAAAAAGAATTGAAAATTATGGACGATCGACGAAGGTTGGCAGGGCCGATTTTCTCGAACGGATATATATAACGTTATAACGGCCTAAGGTAACATACACACACGCACACACAATGTCCACACGGACACGTAATGGGTGTGGTGCATACGTCTCGTGGTGTGTTGTCTCGAGGGTGGCGATTCGTCTTGCTTACTAATCTCGTCGTTGACACCACCCACCCGGGAAACCAGCTACCATCCGTTTCAAAGGCGGCGCAGGAACCCGCAGGAACCAGGCACCGACCTTGCCTCGCTGAATCCCCGAACGCTTTGTTAATCTCCTTGACATCGGTGCCGGTCACTATATTGATCAGGGTCAACCTAACACGCCTCGTTTCTCCTTGAACGCGTTCCCCGCGTTTGTACGACTAAGCTTACGCACGACACTCCATTTCTCATTCCGTCACTTTGCTTATCCCATTCTTTCCTCGCCCCTACCTCTCCAAAAATCTCCACCACCTCGTTAAATTAATATATATCGATACATCTCGCCTAGAAGAATTAAATTTCCCATCATATCGATTTAATTAACCGGTGAAAAAGACTGAATTTTATCCGTTTCGATAGGATAAATTTTTGAAAAGTCTCGTTGTTTTATCGATATCATTCGAGACGAGAGATGCATAAGGATATAATGTGGAAAATATCGGGACCTTGGCGAGGCGGAGAAAGGAGAGGCGGAAAAAAGAAGAAAAACGTGAATTCTTCTTTTCTTTTACCGGTGCGTTTCTCCGCATCCCTGTAGGTGACCTCGCTGAGAATGACTGGTTGACTCCGACCTTTGGCATTCACCGCGTACACGGCTACGTGCACCCCGGCCTCGACGGACGCCTCCAACCCCGCGAGGGAGAAACTCGGCTCGTCGGCGTTCGAAACGTTATAGAGGGGTTGGCTGTTAGACAGGAAATCCACGTCGCCGTGGTACACCTCCAGGATGAATTTTTGCGGAAGCCCTCCATCGTAGCCAGCCACGCATTTCACCTCGACGCTGGTGTAAGTCTGGTTCGCGAGCGTGCAGTTACGGACCGGAAATGGTTTTCCTGAAACGAGAAACGTCACCGCGCACAGTTAAATGGCACGATTTCAGTATGACTGAAATGGGTTGGAGAGGAGGAGGGAAGTGGAGAGATCGTTAAAATTTTACGAAACTCCTTTCCCACCTTTTTCTTCCCTCCCTCCCTCCCTCCCTCTCTCTCAGCGAATTATTAGATAACAACAACAGCTACGCACACCTAGTGTGTGTACCGATCTTGTCGCGACAAGGAGGGGGCGACGATCGATCCTCGTCGTTTACCTCGAGTGTCTCGTCGAAGGGGAGGACGGTTACATTTCGTCGAGCAAAAGTTGACGTACTTCCGGAAGGTTCGAATATTAAAACGACGCGGCGCGTGAAATTGCTTCGTAAAGGATTTCAGTCTTGGCTGCCCCTTTAGAAACGTTGCGATTGTAAACGGACGGGGTCCGCGGCTCGCCCGCCCTTTTAACTCGCAATATTCCTCGGCTACTTTGCGCCGGAATCCGTCCCCAAGCTCTGACCAAAGCTTCGCCAAACGGGGGAGAAGCGAGAAACGTTTTCGTCTCTCTCCACCGCTTATTATCACCCCCCGCTTTTGTCAACCGCGCCGCGGTATCAAACGAACGATGAAAATTATTTCCTCCGCCAGATTTTATATATATATCCTCCTCTCCACCGATCGCTCGAATTTATATCCTTCTCCAACCGAAATCTCTCTCTCGTTTCGTTATCGTTTCTCGCCCTTTCCTTGTCCGCTAATATTTCCAGGATACGCTCTTTGTACACGCTCTACAGGTTGGCTCTCCCCTCTCTCGGTGAAAAATGTTTGCGAGTGGCAAGGATTTAACGTAGCTGGGACAGCGCAACAGTGTCACAGACGTATCCCTTTTCTTCTTCTTTTTCGTTGTATTCGCCGATTCCTCGGCTGACTTTTCTCTCCTTTTCCTTTCCTTTTCTTTCCCCTCCTTTTATCCTTACCTCTCTCTCTTCGGCTCTATTCCTATTTCTAAATAAAATTTCCCTTCCTTCTCAAACAGACAGCTATCACGAGTTTCCAGCAGGGAAAATAAATATTGTTCGTCTTCCCCTTCGAAGCGAGTGAACGGGTTGAAAGAGAATCCCTCGCCACTTTATTTTCCTCCGCATCCTATTACTGCTCTTTTTTTCCTCTCCTTCCCACGCCTATTTACAGATCGGCCCTAAAAATCTTCTGCTCGTTCCCCTCTTTCATCCGCCCCCTGCCTCCTCCGGTTGTTCAATTTATTTTCATCCGGTATCGTAATATCGCGCGAGCAAAGTCGGAAAAGACGCTTTCTTTTTTTATTTTTTCCACCACGGATCGAAAATTCCATCCCCGATAAACCGTTTACATCCCTTCCGTTTATAACTTATTCGAAAAATGCACGCACCGTGTGTGTGTGTGTATATACATATATATTTTTATTCGTTTATTTTTTTTTTATTCCTTTTCCCACGAGGCAGTTGGAGGCAGTCGACGCGCCGCCTCGTTACACTCCCGTTATTTAATCAACATCGGGGCCGAGGGTAATGACGTTCTCGCGATTCTTTTCTTTCGCTTTTTAAAATTTAGCTACGTCCACCGGAAATCTGGCGGAAAACAAATTTTTCTTTTTTTTCCCGTTTTTTTTTTTTTTTTCCATCGGGGGTGAACGGGGGCGAACAATGGTTCGAAAACCCGGGGCGAGTAACGAGCTTACGAACTTTCTTTGAACCGCGTTTCCGCGCACAGGCTGTGACCTCGACTTTCTTGCCACGCAATATCCAATACCAATATAACGACAGATTCGAAAATAATTTCGTTTCCTCGAGGACCGATTTCCGGTTCGCTGCGGATGAATGAGAGAACGGGCCGAAAGGTTGCGCCGCCGCGGATCCAAGACCACTCTGATACAGCGGTTCGAATAACGCGTATTATTAAAGGGGAGAAAATTCGTTTTTAAATTTAAAGTAAAAAGTAATTGTTTCGATGTAATGGTGTATATATCTTTTTAAACGTGGATTAAACAAGATATATTTAATCGGTCGCACTTTGGTAATTGAGAAATATTCCGTTAAATTTATATTAAGAAGCATTCAAATTTCAATTTCATAATCTCGATATCTCATTTATTTCAATTTATAAATTATAAGAATAATTTTATATTCTTTTTTTGTAAATTCGTGTTGGAAATTCACAAATGTAATGATTTTTTTATATGTTCCTATGTATATTTTATTCTTTCAAAACTTTGCAAAACTAAAATTAATTTTACTTACGTCCACCCGTGCCACAGATATTTATGTATTAATTCTAATCTACCTCATATATAATAATATATCAACTTTTATTATCGTTCATTCGTTTCTCATATTTTGAAAAAAAAAACTCGAAGAAAAGTAATTTCGTAAACAATCACACCCTATCATTCTTACATCTCTTACAACTGTTAATATCCCTCCAATTATTTCCCAACCATATTATTCGCCAACAACCGACAAATCTTCCAACTCTCCCTCTTTAAATTTTTAGAAATCTGTTCGCGCGAAAGGTAATAACTTTAATTTTGGGTCGAGCGCGAAAAATATGTAGGCGTTGGCGCGGATTATTCCTCCGGTCGGAGCGATCCAAATAGACTTTGACGGATCTTTTGTTCGTCCGATAATTTTTTCGTCGAACAAAGGTGGAAAAAAAAAAAAAATAACAACCACGGTAGAACGGGGAGAAGAGGAGTAAACGCGATGAAAATTCCCTCGTTTCGAACAAAGAAGAAAAGACCTCGATTTAACCGCGCGTACACATGTACACGCACACACACACACGATACGCACGTGTATTCGTCAACGTCAATACGTTTTCGGCGCGTCAACGTCATTCTCGATCACACGCGGATAAAAAGACATCGAGGCGAGGCCGCGCTGCGAAAATCCGCTCGCGGATTAATGTCGGTTTACCGCTCGATGATTGGTAGCATCGCATTGTACGCGCGGCGATAATTCCCGAATATCTGTCAGGATTTTGAACTCTCGACCTCCCCCTCGTTCGAGGCATCTCCCTCCCGAAAAAGGGGCCTCTTCTCTTCTCTCCTCTCCTCTCCTCTCCTCTCCCTTGGAAAATTCGATGCCCTCCCGAGGAACGGATTGCGCCAACAAAATGGCGGCTCGACTCGCCCGACTTTTATCCCCCTCCATCCCTATAATATACAACGCAACGATAAAGGGTGTTATATCGTTGTTTATCGTTTTTCACCTAATAATCGCCCGGCTATTAATTAATTTCATTTAAATCGCAATCAAATTTCCATCGTATCCAATGATACGAAGTAGAAATATATATATATATATATATACACATATATTTATCCGATATAATGTTTATCATAATGTTTATTACGAGGGAATTTGTCGACACTCGCGTGTAACAATAATGATAATATTCTTCGTTGATCGAATACGATCGAATTAACGCGTTAATATTAAACGAGACTCGGGTAGAAGGGGATGATCGGTTAATTGATTTCGTCGAAACTCTGCTTTCCTCTCCCTCTTTTCTTCACCCTTTTTCCTTCTTTCTACAAATCTGCCAAGGGGAATAACCGATAATAATCGTAACGTGATATGATATCGTGGAAACAGGAAAAAGAATGGGAGGGGATAAATAATGGACGCGTAAAGAAAAAAAAAAAAAAAAAGAAAGAAAGAAACGAGAGGAGGAGAAGGTAGCAAAGAGTCGATAGAGAGGATAAGTGGTCGGTTAACGGGTGATACCGGGGGGGCAGGGGTTGATTAACGATCGCTTTCGAACTAATTGGAAGGATCTTTAGATGGTGGAACAATCTTGGTTTCGAAAGGGTAAATAATTGAGGCGTTAATAGTCTTGGCGGTTTTGCTTGCAGTCCCAAGGGTAACAAGAATAATTTATCGAATAATTTACGCGGATCCATCCTTCCATTCCTCGTTGCGAGTCGAGCAACGCGTTTTCGTTATTTTTTTTTTTTTTTTCTTTTTGTTGTTCGTTGTTTTCCACGCACGTTATTCTTTTTTTCCCCCCTCTCTCTCTCTCTCTCTCTTTCCCATCTCGATTCTCCCCCTCGCGCACTTGGAATTCACGAAAGAGCAGGGCTCGGATCGGACAAATTTCAACCTCGGGGATCGCCTGCTCGCGATTCGGAACGATTTCGAATCGTCGCGTCGCGTCGCATGCGAATGAAAACGGGATCCAACGATCGATCCTAAACATTCGGGATTTGCCCGTTTATCCAAGAGATTCCAAATGTTTTTTTATTCTTCCCCTCTTCGAAACGAGAGAAATATATATATATATACATAGAGAGAGAGAGAGAGGGATGAAGCGCTCTCGAAATGTTTTCCACCCAATATATTTTCGTGGCTTCAAAAAGTGTCTCATTTGCACGGAAAGGCGCAAAACGTGAGACAGAGGAGGGGTTTACCGCCGTGGTGTAAATACTTACCGGCCGCTATCAGCTGGAAGAGACACGGTCTCGCTTGTCTGCCGACCGAATTGTCCGCCCAGCACGACAGAGTACCGTAATCCAGCTCTGTGGTCGGCGTGTACCTGAACACGCTCACGCCGCTCGACGCCTCCATCGAGAATCTGCCCTGCGCTACTTCCAGCGTCTCCCCGCTGTTGTTGAATTTCCATCGGAAATTGTGCGCCGGAGGATCGGCCTCCACTTTGCACGCTATGTTCAACGACTCGCCCCTCGACGCCCCCACCACCACGATCCTGTCCTCCTTGCACACTGGCGCGACTGAAAAATATATATGTATGTATACGTTAACCTTTGTGTCAATCTTCCCTCTCTCTCTTTTTCTCGTTTCAACTCGATTATCGAGAGTTTCCACGAGATTCGAAATAAATTCGCGCGATATTCTCCAATTTTTGAGCATATTCCAGATGCAATAGTCCTCCACTTGGGCTTGACCGAATGTGCTATTCGAAATGATCGAGATTGGTGGCTCGAGAGAGAGAGAGAGAGAGAGAAAATTTTCTAAAATACTTATTGAGTTTCGTCGAAAAGGTCCTCCACAATTCTTATCTTTGAGATGCATTTTGCATTCGTTTCGCGGGAGAGATACGTATATATCGAAAAAAGGAGGGAGGGTTTTTCGACCTTTTCCAGTATACTTGATGGTACGTAAAAATGATCGTAAAAAGGAATTAGACGAAGGAAATTACAACGACTGTTATTCCCCTCGTACGAGTCTATCGAGACAGACTTTCAATTCTACGAGAGAAATTGACGGATGAGGGAGGGAATTGGAAAGAAAATAAAACCGTTTTCGGGGGACGGATGAGACGGTGGTCGAGCACAAAGCGGGAGGGAATCGTGGCCGGAAAGTAAAAGGGTACTTTCGCTGATTTTCACCGGCAAGTCCGTTTACGAGTCGGAGGGCAATCTTGCCGGAGGGCAATTTCGCCGCGATATGGCGAGCTTCCTAACTTATATATATATATAATATCGGCCAACTTGGATCGTCGACAATCTCTCGCTCTTCGTTTTTCTCCAACCGTGGATCAAGTTGAATATCGATCGAAGGGATTGGTCGGAGAGGGGTCGAGTTATTACGAGCAAGCTCGTATTAAATTATTCTCTGGTTATCCGACACAGTGGACACACAGTGTCCTGATGATGATTAATTCTGGTGGTCTATTTTGTAAAATTTACGGGAGAGTTTTATATATATGCGTAGACGTTTTGTTTTTTTCTTTCTCAATCTGTCTTGTTTCAACAGTATCGGAATTGAGGGAAATTCCTACCCGTCACGATTCTGTCGTAGGAGAGGAAATTTTAGCAAGCCATTTCTCAAGGAACGAGAGGGATTGCAAAGAATAGCGCAACGGTGTTTACAAAAGAGATTTTAATAATAAAACCGGCAAGAAGGAAAGTGGAAGGAAAGGAGGAAATAGTTGGACGAGGAATAAAGAATGGCACAGGTGTGTCAACGAAAAGATGTACTAATAATGAAAAAGAACTGCAAGAACGTTGGAAAAGGGGGGAAAAAGAAGGGGAGAAAGGAAGGGGGCAGTTGAAAAGATAAAAAATGCGGTTCTGGCATGGCGGTGAAAGAATTCCAGGAATAAAAAATACAGCTTAAAGATTGTAAAAGAGTAAGAGCACGGCAGAGTTGGGGAATAACAAGCCAGCGTAAAAAAAACGTAGCCGAAATAATAAATAATAAAAAGTTGGGGGCATAGTGAAAAATTAAATTTGCGCAAATGAAATTTTGCTGGGATAAAATTTACAACTAGCTGTGTAGAAGAAATTGTTCGTTATTATCCTTTAAGAAATATATATATATACGAGAGAAACGATTTAGCTTTAGAGCTAGAAAGATATCAAAAGTGAAAATGTGACTATACGTGACCGATAGCACGTATAGGCGCTATCTGGATGAGTTATGGTCGGTCATCTCGACTGATGAACGAGGCTCGCTCTTTGTCCGTTTAATTCGTTTCCATTCATTTTTTTAACAGGGATAAATATTTTCTGTCATTACCTTTTACTACGATCTTTCCTCGTTTCTCCTCTCTTCCTCTCTCTCTCTTTATATATATATATATATATATATATTTTTACATTTGCGTACGTTTTGGAAAAAAAATTTAACTAACGAACGTGAAAAGACTTTGCGAAATAATGTTAACGGAGGGGGGAACGAAGAAAAATTCAATTGGAAAATTGTATCTCGGAGAGAAATAAATATCGTGAAAGAGTTCTCGATTAAAAAAAAAAGAAAAAAAAAAAAAAAGAAAAGAAAGAAATTCGTCGATTAAAACGCTCGTTTGATGAAAACGGTCGATACCGAGGGAAACTTTTGTTACCGACGGAGAAATCGGTTGACATTCGTTCCCGTGTAATTAACGGTAGTCGAGAAGTCGTAAACAGTCCTCGTTAGCCGTTTTGTAATTCGAGATTGACGACAACGAATTATCGAGGGCGACGTCGCCACGCCCGATATATTGAAACAGCGCGAATGAAATTTAATTATCATCCGTGTCCGGGAAACACGGGAACGGTTCAAGAATCGGTGCCCTTTGATTTTATACCTTTCGCGCTTAATTGCGGCCAACGTTGTGACTGCGTTCAAAGAACTTTACAAAAGAAAGGAAAAAGAAAAAAAAAAAAAAAAAACTGCTCATTCAGGCTCCCGAATAGCTCCCTTTGAACCCGTTTCGTCCGTTTCCTCTTTTCCGTCACGTTTGTCCGTAGTTTCACCCATGAAAGAAGCAGCTTTATCGGACGATTTGCATCGAATCGCGAGTTCTAGTAATTTCTCTCTCTCTCTCTCTCTCTCTCTCTTTCCTCTCCCTTTTTTTTCGCCAAATTAATCCAATATCACTATCTAGCTCTCTGATGAGTGGTAACAAACCTCTTGCAAACACCGCGTCGAGCGCGTATTGCGAATTTTACGAACTGTTGAACACTCGCGTCAAACAAGTATCGACCGCTTCCGTTCCGAGTGGTTCGCGATCCTTCGTTGCTATTCACAATTTAATCATCGTCGAAATTTCCATCCAAGTCGATTCCAATTCGAAGGAAACTATAGATTCCTGGAGGGAAATGGATGAAGGCAAACGTCATTGCCAGGATCGGCGTAATAATCCGGTCCAACTTGGACTAAACTCTCGCGAGATTGCCTGTCTCCCCTTAACGAGGCCCCCGCGTTTAAATATCGATATACGTCGATTTGGCTATTTTTACCCGATTGCGGGTTAACACCAACGACTTGAGGTTCAAAGTATCGGGGTATAAAATTTCTGTTCGTCGAACGTTTGAGAGAGAGAGAGAAAAGATGGTATCTTTTCAACTCGACGTCCACGTACGTTTCCCAACCGCGCGGTCGATGGTTTATTTTTTCGCCGGGGGCGAAAATCAGGGGATGGATTGGATTATCAAAAATTTAGCTGAAACTAAGTACGGTTGAAATATTCAGAATCGGGACGGAGATAGGAGGAGAAATTTGGCCTGGCTCGGTTTAAATAAAACACGGCGAAAACACGTTGGTTGGCGAACCAGTGTCTGGTCGAGAACGCTCGAAAACAGCGGCTGGCTTCGTTACCGAGTACCGTGAAGAGAGAAATCCTCGATTAAGTCTGCTCGATTAAAATAAAGTGCCTGCTCCGAGGTGGATCGGTTTGAAGTGGTTTCCGTGACGAGGGGGCGGGAAGCAAGGGGAGGGGGAGGAAATACTCACACTTGACGCGAAAATGAAGAGGCTCGCTTCGAGTTTCGTTCAGGTCATTCGTTGCGGCGCACACGTACTTGCCGGCGCTACTCCTGGTCACGCTCTGAAGCACCAGGCTTTGATTCGACCAGATTATCCTGGCCGACGTGTTGTGCGCCAGTATCTGGTTCTGAAAACAACAAGGGTTCAAGTTTTGACACGATTTTTCGAAATTATCATCCGATTACTTTCAACTTAAAATTCTTCTCTTTTACGATTAATAATGATAATAGTAATATTAATAATTACGTTTTCTCTCGAGGAAAAAGAAATTATCATCCGATTACTTTCAACTTGGAATTCTACATAATGATAATAGTAATATTAATAATTACGTTTTCTCTCGAGGAAAAAGAAATTATCATCCGATTACTTTTAACTTAGAATTCTACATTCTTCTCTTTTACGACTAATAATGATAATAGTAATATTAATAATTACGTTTTCTCTCGAGGAAAAAGAAATTATCATCCGATTACTTTTAACTTAGAATTCTACATTCTTTTAGGATTAATAATAATAGTAATATTAATAATTACTATTTTTTCTCGAGGAAAAAGAAATTATCATCCGATTACTTTTAACTTAAAATTCTACATTCTTTTAGGATTAATAATAATAGTAATATTAATAATTATTATTTTTTCTCGAGGAAAAAGAAATTATCGAAATTATCATCGAATTACTTTTAGCTTAGAATTCTACATTCTTCTCTTTTAGGATTAATTATAATAGTAATATTAATAATTACTATTTTTTCTCGAGGAAAAAGAAATTATTAAAATTATCATTGAATTACTTTTAGCTTAGAATTCTACATTCTTCTGTTTTAGGATTAATAATAATAGTAATATTAATAATTACTATTTTCTCTCGAGGAAAAAGAAATTATCGAAATTATCATCGAATTATTTTTAGCTTAGAATTCTACATTCTTCTCTCTTAGGATTAATAATAATAATAGTAATATTTTTAGTTTAGAATTATTTTTAGTTTAGAATTCTACATTCTTCTCTTTTACGATTAATAATAATAATAGTAATATTAATAATTACGTTTTCTCTCGAGGAAAAAGAAATTATCATCTGATTACTTTTAACTTAAAATTTTACATTCTTTTAGGATTAATAATAATAGTAATATTAATAATTACTATTTTCTCTCGAGGAAAAAGAAATTATCATCGAATTATTTTTAGTTTAGAATTCTATATTCTTCTCTTTTACGATTAATAATAATAATAGTAATATTAATAATTACGTTTTCTCTCGAGGAAAAAGAAATTATTAAAATTATCATTGGATTACTTTTAGCTTATTCTACATTCTTCTCTTTTAAAATTAATAATAATAATAGTAATATTAATAATTACGTTTTCTCTGGAGGAAAAAAGGAAAAAGGAAAATGGACTGGATCGACTCCTTCTCTTTCTTCGTTCGTGCAGTTGGGCGAGATTTCGAATCGCGATTTTCGTTTCTCGTTACGGGTCTCGGTACTATCCCTGGCGATAAATTAGAGATAAACATGCACCGTTCCACCAGCCAGCCGTCTTCCTCCAACGCTATCGTCTTATCCTCTATCACCGCCTTTTTCCCCTGCCTAAATCGCGCGCATTTTTATAGGCAATTATATCGACGAAAGGGTCTGACCCACATTCACCCCTTATATTTTCCTGATATGGAGAGAAAGTATATATATATATATATTGAGGATAAATTCTTTATTATTGCACGTTATTCGGAGGAAAAAGAAACTGGTGGCTCGATAACTTTTATGATCAGGCGATGTTTCGCTCCCCTATCTTTGTTACAAATTTATCCGCGACGAGAGACGGCCAGAGAGAGAAGGGAAGAGGAAAAAGAAGAGGGGGTGAGAGTGCTTCTTGTTAGTTAACGTCTCGCGTTTCCTCCATATTGTAGACGAATAATAAAGCGGTATTCTTTATCACCTCGAAACCCTTTGACATTGTATTCCTTTGTAAGGATCGACAAGGAAAGCGACGACGGGAAAGGAGAAAGAAAGAGAGAGAGAAAGAGAGAGAGGGAGAGGAAATTCAGGCTGACGGCTTATCAACCGTCGCGGAGCATAGCTAAGAATGATACAGCGGTGCACTTAGTTGTTTAATCAAACTGGATGAAAAGAGCGCTAGTTTCGTTATCTTTTGTACCGTTCCACCCTTTTGTCCCGGCTAACGAGAAGACAAAACGAATGCATTCGGTTCAAGAATTCTACCTTTTTCCGGAAAAATTAACATGACAGCAGCTCGGTGAAAGGAAAGGAAAAAAGAAAGGAAAAAACGAAAAACGCGTAGGAGGAACGAATTACTATTTGAAGAAATTTGTATACACCTTTCGATAGATAGAAGGAAGAAGGCACTGTCTATGGATATCTCGAGTCTTTCCAAAATCCCCTTTAATTAAACCAGAGACAAAGTTTCATTACACGTGTCTTATCTTATCGTTCCTGTTTGCTAGGAAGGAAGACGGGAGGAATACATGTTCCTTCCTTCAACGTTTCTCCAACGTTCTCGTATCCTCATATCATCAGCAGGATAAAGGGATACAAACGAATAAGTTTAACCCCCTCCTTAAGTTAAAACAGGCGGACAAAACTTTCCTCTCCTTCTTTGCCTCGTTTCGAGTTCAGAGTTCGCGTTTCAATTAGGGTGGAAAGGAAACGAAGGGGGCTAGTTTGGGGAGCAGAGAAATCTGTCGGCTCCAGCGGGATACAGCCAACAAGTAGATAAAACGGGGAGGCCGTGCCAAATCCAAGAAACCACGACTCCTCTTGTTTCTTTTTTCCATATCCCCCCTCCTCCTTTACGAGCCCCCCCTATTACGCATTCTCTCTCTCTCTCTCTCCTTCCTTCCTTCTTTCCTTCCTAGCTCCGGAATTCGTTCGCCCAAGATAATTCGAAATCGAAATCATCCCCTTCGTTTCTCCCTCCTCCGATTGTTTCATAATCTCGACCGAGGATTTCTTTCTCTTGCCCGTCCCGTTCGATCCATCCTGTCCGGGCCCCGTGGAAGAAGGGGGCCGTCGTTATTCTAACTCGCGGCACGATCGATCCGCACGGATGAATTAAAAACGGAAACTGTGAGGGAGAGAGAGAGAGGGGGAGGGATTGAATCGGCGGGTTTAATCGGATGGAATCGATCGAAAACACGGGAACTCGATTAAACCGAATCGTAATCTATGCAACCTCCCAGCGCGGTCCACGAGCTTTGCCCCGCTTGGCATAGGTTAAGGCCACCCGATTTGCTCCTCCAGTCAAGACTCGTTAAACGCTATATGTATATATATATATATATATATGTACTTTGTTAAATCCCTTTTTCTTTCTTCCTCTCTCTCTTTCCTCTTTTCTCTTTTCTTGCATTATATTCGAGAAGGCGTTCATTGGTGGAACGATGGAAGACGAGATGGCCATTTTCCATTTACCGGAGGGGGGACGTTTCGATAAAATCAGGGAGGAATAAACAGAAATCGATGCATCGATAACCATCTCGTCGAGAAGTCGTATTATCACCTCTCTCGCCTCGAAGAAAGAGGAAAGTTGGACGTTTCTTCCGTCGCGTCTTCGTTTTCTCTCCAGCTAGGAAATCGGAGAGAACGGTTTCCTTTCGTTTGTCTTTTATCCCACCCCCCTCGTGCAACTACTTCCCGTTCCTTTGCAATTATTTCGTTACAATTACATTATGGGGAGGAGGGGGAGGAAATAGCCCCTTCCTAGAAAAATGAAAAGAGAGAGAGAGAGAGAAAGGAGGGGGGGGAAAGTTGGCAAAACTCGGATAACGACGCGTCGATCGGTTGCCACGTAGCTCGTTTCGCGTGCTCCAGACAGCATGTATAATGAGTTCGTAAACGCGCGAGCGTTAATTAGAACGCCTTAAGGATCCCCTCCTCGGTTTGCCCGTTATTAATTCGATTTTCCTCTACGGTTTCCCCGAAAGCGAGCCGCCCCCTTTGATCCTCCCCCCCGTTCGTCGAGCATTCGGGGATCACGGAACGGCGCCCTCCTTCTTCTAATCAGATTTCGCCAAGGAGTAAACGGGGATCGGGGACTAACTTTGCCCCTAAATCCATTCGCCGGGATTTGGATATTCCATCGGCGGACTAACTCGTTTAACCCTTCTCCATCAACGATCCTCGTTACGCCCCCGCCGATCCTTCGCTTACCATTTACATATATGTATATGTATATGTATATATATACGTGTTTTTCTCTTATTTTCCAAAAATTAAAGAGGACTCGTGAAACGATTCGATAGACTTTCTTTTACAGAGTACATGTTGGATAGCTCCCAATGCTTTCCTCGATCCCTAAGATTTTCGCGAGGATTGGAGGAAATGGGTGGAATTGAGAGATATCATTGCACTACCGGTTGGAAGCTCGTAACACGTATACGATCCCAAGACAGTGGATGATGCTTCGAGCAGTAGGATTTAACCCTTTGCTCTCCGGCGGCATTGGGACAATAATTATTTACGTTTGATTTTTTTTAGAATGTTCGCAAATAGGCTCCCTCTATAATCTTACGAGTAATTATGGTAATCTTAATCCGATGTAATTTCCATTCATAAATTTCTCCAAATATTGAAGTTGTATGATATAATATGACCTCCTAAAGATATTAAATTTTTTTAATCCATTTGAAATTCCATTATTGAATTCTTTTATTTTAGTAACTTCAGGATTTAAGACATGTAACTTTAAGACATTATTTTTTAATTAAAAATTATTTTAATTTAAGAAAATTTTATTTAATATTAACAATTTTTTTAGGAATTTATCTTACAATTCTTCAATCAATTGAATATTTAAATTATTTATTTTTGTTTTATGATGATAGAATTTATGGCTCAATTTTTTTTATAGCAACAAAGGATTTCATGGTTTACATGTATTATATCGGATCAATTTTTTTATTCGTATCCTTATATATCGAATAATAAATATTCAATTTTCAAATATATACATAATATTAATTTCGAATTAGCAATTTGATACTGACATTTTGTAGATGTAATTTGATTATTTCTTTATACATTTATTTACAATTTATTAATTTAATTACTATAAAAATATAATATTTAATATTTTTTTTTCTTTATTATTTAATCTTTTTA